CATATTTTCCGTGTTTTATGTTGTTTGATTCTCATAATATTTTTATGAAGAAAAAAATAAAAAAATAAAAAAATAAATAAATAAATTATTCATCAATTTTCGGCAAACTATTATTTTACATGTCTCACGAATGGACTTGACTTTAACCTAAACCTTTACCAAACACCGAAAGATAAAAATAAAAAAAATATTTTACTTAAAAAAAATAAATATTTTCTAAAAAATATATTTTATGTTTGTTTACAGAGTCTATTTTTTTTTTTTTTTTCCCTAGTTGTCGGAGTTAGTTTTACATTCATTTCCCAATTAATGAAGTTAAGTACTTCAGTTCTTCAATTCAGTCTTTCAATACTGCTTTCATTATCTAATTCTTCATCCTTTGCGACAAGGCAAAAAGAGCCAGCGGAGAGTAGTCATTCTAGACTCTTAAAACAAACGAACAACATTCTGAAATAAAAAATAAAAAAAATTTGTAGCAAAACATAAAGATTTTCAAAATATCCACTCAACGTATTGTCCTTTTACGAAACTAATCAAACTAGATATAAATATTTACTTTATTGATTTGAAAATATTTTTGAAATCTAAGTACAATTTGACAAATTTATAATTATGTAACGGGTAATTTACACATAAGGATGGTAACGGGGCGGGTTTGGAGCGGGTTTTCCTAAATTCTGCCCCATCCCTTTTATTTTTTGGCAAGTCCATGCCCGCCCTGAGACCTTCGACGGGTTGGATTTTCATGTTCAGCCCCGTCCCGTTGGGAAATACTGTGCCCCTGTGCCCGCCCCACTAACAAATTTTTTTCCCACTTTTTGGAACTTAAGCTTCTGCTATTTGAATGTGGAAAGCCTGAGAATGGCACAACATAAATGAAATTATGTATCCCAACAAAAATAAAAAAAATAACATGCACATAATATAATTTAGATAACATAATAAACAAAAATAAAAGTTTAATATAACAAAATGACAAGAAGTTCTAAATTCCAACTTCCACCATAACCAAAACAAAAGCAAATTTAATACCAAATATATATATATATATATATATGCTTAGCGGGGCGGGGCGGGGCTCCTAGGATATGTATACTGAACCCTTACCTGCCACGTGACCCGCGACGGGTACAAAATTTGTATCCATGCCCGCCCCAACGGTATAAAACGTGTTTCCATATCCGTTATTAACGGGGTGGGACGAGACAGAGTTACGGCGGGGCGGTAAAAATTGACATCCCTATTTACACATACCTTTTTTTATAGTTTGCTATAATTACAGGAAGCATTTTTTTTGTTTCGAAAATTACGCGGACCTCCCATACTTTTGAAAATATCCTACACAGACCTCCCTTCCGTTAGAGTCAACGGCAGTCAACGACGGAAAATGATGATATCAGTTACTATTTTTTATGAAATGCCGAAAATAGCCTTGTCTATATAATTAGATATTATATTTAAAAGATATATATATGTATGTGTGCATATATATATATATGTGTGTGTGTGTCAAGCCTTCGTCTGGTTTAGTCAGTGGTGATGGCGGCGAGGATCTGTGATGGTGACGAGGATCTGTGACGGCGACGGGTTGTGGTGGTAGGTTTGAGATGGTAAGGCTGTAAGATGGCGACGGCGAGGCTGTGAGATAGCAACGGTGAGGATCTGTGACGGCGAGGTTGTGAGACGGCGACGGCGACGGCGACGACAAGGATCTGTGATCTGTGACGGCGAGGTTGTGAATGTATGATCCGGCCGGCATTAATGGTGATTGAATCGGCAGTGTGATTTTGGGATCTTTTGTTTTTCACTAAATAGGCATGATAGTATTCAACGTAGGATCTGTGATTTTGGGATCTTTTGTTTTACACGCAAATTTATTCCATGGTCATCATCAAGATGTAGACAACTATAACACCTTGATTCCAAGAGAAGTTCATTGGAATTAAGTCCTTGTAATATAATAAAGACTCAAACATGAATTAAGTCCAATGATATATTACTAATAGATTAAACAGAAGAAATTTACAAAAGGATATAATGGAAAATCCTTTAATAAATTAATAACAACGATCAGATGGTAATCTTATTTGAAAGTTTTGAAAAGATTCACATCTATATGTGTACTTTTAGTTTTGAATTTCAATCCCGGTCATCAATCTTACAATACCAAATTCCTCTCTGCCCTCTGCTCGGAAACACAATTCCCATGCTCACAGTCAGTTACAGCAAAAAATCCACTCCTGTCTTTCTCCACCTCACTCTCATACATAAATCATAATAGTTGCCCTGGATTGAATTTCAGGGATGAGAATTTGGTGCCAAATCAAGGTCTCTGTAACTATTTTTAGCCACCTGTAATACTCGGACTGAATCAAAAGCTCACCGGAGTTGGGCTTATATCCCATTGGAAACAATGGTTAGGTACATAAGTAAATTCATCTCATTTATATATATATATATATATATGTAAAATATATTATTTATATGGGTATTTTAGTCATTTATCATAGAAAATTGAGGGCATTTAAGTAAATTTGACGTGTCTGTTAGTGTATTTAACGGTCAGTTACACATAAGGAAGGTCCGTGTAGAATATTTTCAAAAGTATGGGAGGTCTGCGTAATTTTCGAAACATGAAATGTGCTGTCTGTAATTATGACAAACCATAGAGAAGGTCTGTATAAATTACCCTGTAACACCTTGTAAAATAAAATAAAGTGAATACTTATTCTCCATCAAGATTTACGAAATCTAATAAAAACAAAACATAAATATTTATTTAACTGATTTGAAAATATTTTCAAACTCTAAATACAATCAGGAAAGGTTAAAATTATGAAACACCTCAAAAATAGGAGAGTGAATTCTTATTCTCCAACATCTAAGAAAAACTACGAAATTTCTTTTTGGATGAAGGGAGAACAGAGTTTAAAGTAAATAAATTATTTTAATCATTCTCTTTTTAACGATCGTGTCTAAACTAAATTCACATAATGGCAATAAGATGAACTTAGAGCTCATGGATTTGTATCTAATTATTATATATGTTGTAGTAGACATCAGCGGCACCGGTGTGGTCCTACAAAATAAAGGGCTTACATCAATTCGTAGGGCACGATTGTGGTCCTACAAAAAATAAAGGGATTACATCACCTCTTAGGCACCGGTGTAGCGTCGGATGAAGACGTTTCCATAAAACTAGGAGTTATAGCTCATTAGGTCCGTTTGGTTAAGTAAGAAGTAGCAAGAAAGGAAAAAAAAGAAAAAATTTTAATTTTTTTCAGTAATTTGGTTAGTTGGAAAGTGAAGATTTTGGGGAATGTAAATTTCTCACATCTAAAAATTTTTCTTAAATTTTTTCAAGCATAAAACATACGAATATCAACTTTCTCAAGTTGTGCACTTCATTTTTTGTTTCTCCTATTTCACCCATATCTATTGTCTAAACTAGATAGACTTCATTGAAAATGAAAGATTTCCTAGTTCTGTAAATTACTTAATTTGTCTATTACTAATTTAATTGTTTGTAATTTTACGTGTGTCTGTAAAATTAATTTAATTTTTCCTTCCATTATTAAATTATTATTTTTCATTATTTTTCGATGATGGCGGCAATTGCTCAATTTTTGGCAATTGATAATACTATTATCTCATAAACCATGTCATCGCAAGACAACATATAATAATAATACATACATATATGTATATATTAGCTAGAGTGTTCCACTCATTAAAATACATCCAATGACTCGAGATTTTGTTAAAAATAGAACAGAGTTAGCATAATTTCTTCGTACTAATAATAATCAATATTTTTTCATAAACACAAGTTAAATTAGTCAATTATATTGATACTTAAAATTCGAGGGTTCTAGTCCTTGTAAAAAAATACAAAAAATTATATATGATATCACATATTATTTTATTTCATATTTCACTATTTGCTTACTAAAATAAATAATTAAGTATAAAGAATATTAGTCTAACTCAAATTTATTTATTTTATTATTATTTATAATTATAAGGGTATTTTTGATAATTAGAATCATTTTCTTTTTCTTTTCATGCGATCCAAACTAACAAAATAATATTTTCCTACAACTTTCTTCAAAAAATTTCTTGCTAACCAAATGCACGATAAAAACTTGATTTTCCTTTCTTTCACATCACTTTTTTTCACTTTCACTTTCTATTAAATTTCCCGTCTAACCAAACAAATTAATGTTCGGGAATGTGTTTTCACGTATCTCTTTTAACGGCCAGTCTCCTATCTATTGTAGTCTTGTGATCTCAGTCGGTTGTGAAGACGAAGGTAGAGAAAATGAATCTTATTTCTATACCAAAAAAAAAATTGTGATTCTCAATATTTTCTAGAGAAGTTATTTCATGTCACACGTCAATTATTGTTGGACACCTAAGCAATTATATTAGAAATATATAAATTTTTATATAAATTTTTATTGACAAGACTTGCCTACGTATTCTTATTGACAAAACTTGTTTATCCATTAATGACTACGTTATTTTTATTGATTGTTAATGCGGTGTGGTCCAATTACAAATGCACACAGTTCAATTACAAAATAAGAAAAATAATAAATAAAAAAATTAGAGAAGGTAACTGAATTTATTAAAAAAAATAAAAAAGAAGTTATTTTCCTTATTTAGCACTGATTTTGTAATTATAAGTTATTTGTGTAATCACATTAATTAATTACTAAATAAGTAAGTCTTGTCAAATTTTTATTAATTATTTTAATTACATATTCATTCATTCATTCATGATTAATCGGACCGGCCCATATAAAATTTATCATATTTACTACGCTCGAAGAATACAAAGAAGGTCAAGTGGGTGTCAATTGGGTGTGACTTTGTTATGTTGCTGAATAAAATAAAATAAAATAAATAAAGAACAAGGGCATTTTAGTCTTCTGGTGCCAATTAATAAAAGTCCGTTACGTTTCGGGTCTTCCCTTATATTAATTGTTAATTGCTGTTACAAAGTTTCAGTTGTTTGTTTGCAAAGAATCTCTCTATTACATGTTGTTGTTGGCAGATTTAGCTTCGAAGCTCGATCGATTTTTCAATCGAAATAGATCTATCTTGTTCCCAAAATTAACAAAATTCTACTACTCTCGTCGATCTTCCATGAAAATCACCTGAATTTCTCTACATCACCTCTTTCTCTCTCTAAATCGGAACCGCATCGGAGAAGAAATGCATAGCCGGGCATCGAATAATCAGCTCTCTGGTTCGGGTTTTCGATCTCGAATTTTCGCTCTATTGTTCTCTATGTTCGCAACCATGGCTTCCTTTTATGTCGCCGGCCGGTCAGTTCCCCCTCTCTACACATGCACTTGTGTGTCTGTGTGTGTATAGATATAAATCTCCATTTGCTTGAATAGTTTTTTTTTTTTTTTTTTTTTTTTTTAGGTTGTTTACTTATTATGCTTAATTTATCTGTTATCTGTAACTATCCCCTGGTCTAATCAGCCTCCACTACTCAGATTTGAAAATTTATGTGATTTTTGTTTTTTATTTTAAATTTTTTGTATAGTCAACTAAAGTTTTTTGGATGATATATGTACTGTTGGTAGGCTATGGCAGGATGCAGAGAACAGGGTTTATTTAATTAAAGAACTCGATAAGAGAACTGGTCAGGTACATTTTTTTATTTTTTTTTATTTTTAATTTTGGTATGATGTTACTATCCCTCATTTGTTTGCAAGTCTAGTGACATTTCCTTATAGCTTAGGTTTTATAATTAATATTGTGTAATCATTTTTGGTGCCAATGTCAAATACATATCTGTAGTAGTAATTTGCATTCAGTTGAGTTTGTTTTTATGTTTCCTTAATTTGATTGTCAAATTGCTATGCAAAAACCTAGGCTCTCACGCTGCTATTTTGAATATGCAAACCAATGCTGTGAAAAACTATCTATATGCCCATTGAATTTAACCCAATCCTTAAAAATTACCCAGATTTCAAAAAACCGATCCAATAGTTTAGTCTTTTAATCTTCACAATAAGACCCCGACTTAGCTTATGGAGGATAGCAAAGCAATAAGTTGTTCGATTCCTTGGTATGTGCAGCGTTTGATGTGAGGCCAATTTGATAGTTGTCATTTACTTATACATCTGTGCACCATTTCTTCCATATATCTGTAAGTTGATCTTGCCTTGGAAAATTCAAACATTTGATTTTCCATTTTCAGGGGCAATCTGCCATATCTGTTGATGACACACTGAAAATCATTACTTGCAGGTATGTTGAATCTGGTGCCTTTTTACTTTTTAACAATTATATGTTATCTTAGGGGAATAGTGATGCATCTTTTGTTTGCCAGGGAACAACAGAAGAAGTTATCGTCCCTTGAGATGGAGCTGGCTAAAGCTAGACAGGAAGGTTTCGTGTCAAAGTATTTATTAGGAGATAGTGGGACTCATACAAAGAAAAAGCTTCTAGCTGTTGTAGGAATTATTACAAATTTCGGCCGAAAGAACAACAGAGATGCGATCCGTAAGGCATGGATGCCTACTGGTAGAATACCCTTCCTTTTTGTGAGTTTCATCCTTTATTCCTTGCATGATTGCGTAGATAATGACCCATACTGCTACAATAGACATCGTTTATTTATTTATTTTTTCAAAACCATGTGTCGATTTTTTACTGGATTAATGAAGGGGTTATTTAAAATATGCCCATGGAAAAATGTAGTCTATTTGTCACGTCCACTTTAATGATATAAATCTCAAGTGGTACTAGTTAAGTATGAATAATGATACTATAATGCAATCATTCTTCTCTTGTTTTAGTGTTATTGGGAGACATTGTCGGTGCAGTGACGAAAGTTCGGATTATCAAATATGATTACACGGGTTCTTAGCATGAGGACACTCATTTGTTGCAAACAATGTGCAAAATGTTAGGTTTATACCAAAGGAAATAAGGATATCAGATGGTAAGCTATGATACCACTTGAGAGTAATGCCAACGGAAGCTTAGAGAACTAGAGGGGTGAATAGGTCTATTTTATCTTTTGATTGATTTTAAATTTTATTTTACCGAGTGGATAATTTTATTCAATTATTAAATCAATCAATCACACATGTAATGAAAACAATAAAGTAAAGAGTAAGAGAGAAATATACAGATCTTTTACGTGGAACACCTCAGCGAGAAAAAGAACACGGAGACCAGCCGTCTCAGTCAACCAGAGAACGAGTACAATGGGTTCTAGTGCCTTCGGATTTGCTATCCATGAGTTGCCGATTCCAGTGCTTTTGAAATCACCTGAAGCTGTATCTCCGTGCTCAGCTTCCTCCGACTTAAGTTCCTTTGGAATTATCAACGACACTGATCCACGCCAACACAACTACCTCACAATGATTCGCTTCTCTTAGTAATCAATTACCTTCTCTTTCCACAAGTACGTCTGAAGAATCTGAATGAACCTGCTACTTTGATTGCTCTAGATACGCTCCGTAGTATAGCTCGAATACTCACAATCAGGGATGAACAATACACCACTAGCACTCTTACGTAAAAGTTTGTGCTTCAATTGAAAGAAATAAATCTCAGAAAATTCAGCTCAAAAAGGTCTCTGATTTTCTCTTCTACTTTGAAAAACGTTTTAGCTGAGTTTCCACACATAGAGACTTCTCTTCCTTGTTGAAAACTCAAAAGTCTTCAAAAATAGATGGTAGATGTCTCTTAAGAGTTTGAATATTGGGTGCAAAGACATATTAGAATTCACAGTCCTAGTTGAAATGGGGGAGGTTCCACCAGTACAAGGTAATTTACTACAAGTACAAAAGCCTACTTGAACTAACAAATTCAACCAGAAGCTTGTTCTATCGGGACAAGATAAGGCCCAAGCGATACAACAGATTTCTGGACCAAAAATAATTCCAACAAAATCCTATTATACCTGTATAAGAATTCTCACTACTGGTACAACTGCTCTCTGAAATCAAACATACTTCTTGTTATCCAGTAGCCTTAACAGCAGGTACAAGAAATAAATAAACCAGTGCAACCTTTTACTGGTAAAACACTTGGTCAAATTTACACGATGAACAACTTCAACCAACTTTCACACTTTTTACAAACACACTCAACTTACCTGGCCTAATTATGTGCTCATATCTATGCATCTTCAGGTATGGCATCTTCGAAGATCTACCACTCTTTGACACTTGAATCAACTAATTCAAAACTTAAACAAAAATTACAACTTGATAACATGGTTTTTGGATACGAAATATGCAGACAAACAATTACATTCCTAACACAGACCGAGTCTATCCTCATGGAACCCTCAATCAATGTCGCCCATCGCTAGATAATGGCATTGTCTTAGTGTCATTAGTCAATTACGAGGTTGCTAAATGGGAGGTTCGTTAAAATAATATTGGTAACTGAAACTATATTTGTACTCAACTATATTGTGGGAATTCACATTAGAGTAACTCATATCCAGTCCCTTGCTATTCTGTTGAACAATTTGGAGGGAACTAGCTACTAGACGGTTCAATTAATCTTTCACCCATACACCTAAATTAAACAAATGATTTGCACATAAGTATAGTTGTGGGCCTCACAAGTATTTTCTCAGCTTCGCCCTTCTTTTGCATAGTTCACCATCTTTTGGGTAGTTACAAGAATGCTCTCAATTGAACTATCCTCAGAAGATAGGTTGGTTGGTGGTGCAAACCACAGGCAAGGTTATACGATTAGTAGTTTGAATGCTGCCTGGATGGCATGGTTAGTTTTAAAGGATCATGAGATCGTATTTTCTCGGGATTCTAACACCTTACAATTTACTTTGGTGTCAATATTCAATTGTGTATTATATATATATATATATATATATATATATATATATATATATTCATTTATTTATCAATTTAAGTCTCAATACCTGTAAACTGACTTGCGGAGGTTGGTTTCGTTTTGGATTTTCACAGTCTGCATAATTTTCTATATAAAGTTCCTTTAAATACTCAAATTTAATTACAGAAATGAGCTGTGATACCTAAAAATAAGTCTGATTAATATTCTGAAAAATGATCTCCTTGTCCTCTCTATCAGTTACTCAAATTTATAAATTGAGGGGTGTTTGTTGATTGTTTCTACTGCTAAAACTCTGTTTTAGACATTTTTAATTATATAGAGGATCTTGCTCCCTCTCTCTAATTTGTTTACTCAACATGGCTATCTTGAATCCAATATGTGCAGGTGCAGCTCTTAAAAAACTGGAGCATGAAAAGGGCATAATTGTACGATTTGTCATAGGAAAAAGGTTTTTATTTTGAAGAGTTAAAATTACATGTTAGCATTTTCGGTGGTTGTATTTTTATTAAGTTTATTTCTCTTGCAGTGCAAATAGTGGCGACAATTTGGACAGGGACATCGACAGTGAAAATCAGCGGACTAATGACTTCATTATACTTGTATGTTCCACTTTTAACAGTCATATTTTAAAAAGCTATGATTTCGTAGTAATATATTCTGGAAAAACCAAATGAAACTATTAATACCTTGCTTTTCTTGGAGAAAGTAATTGTTGTGAAAATATATCCAAGCATTTGAGATTGACTATTTGAATTTGGAAATATGAGGACCTACTACGCTAGGCCAATCCACAGCCTCCCACAAATCAAACTATCAGCGGCTCTCTCCTTTCTCCTGACATGTATATTTGCATGTATTCAGTGAACTTGCTATGTCTTTGATCGTATTGGCTACAAGTCAGAAATTTCAAAGTTATTCTTGTTCAAAGGATCAAATATATCACTTCCTTTTCTCTTTTCTTTTCGAACAGAATGATCATGTGGAGTCCCCTGAGGAGCAACCAAAAAAGTCAAAGTTGTTCTTTGCTCATGCTGTGGAGCACTGGGATGCTGAGTTTTATGCTAAGGTCAATGATGATGTTTATGTCACTATTGGTATGTGGTCCATCTTGTTAGATTAGTAGGAACAATATTGTGCCTCTGTGTTAATTTATTTCACCTCTGCATGAGTTTGTTTCGGTTTGAAGGAAAAGGAAAAAAAGGATAAATGTTTTGTAGCTTGAAACTGCATTGAATTTCTATCTATTTTCTGTGATTATCTTTTCTAGTTTTCTTAAGTCGTCTTGTATATGTGGCATATGAAACCATACTGCACTTCTTCTGCTCAATTTCTGATGATTCTGGAGACTTGCTTGCATAGATATATATAGGTTTTCATTATTTTATGAACGAGAAATCAACATTTCCTATCATGGGAAAAAAGTGTGGGTAAACTGCACTTGTAACAGGTTTTTTGTTTTTTTTTTTTTTTTTTTTTCATGAAATGAATCCCTTGTTTTGTTTTAGCCATTATATATATTAAAATACTAGTTGGACTTTTGGCCTCATTTTCCAAAAGGGCAGGATAGTTACCAGAGTTCCTCTAATGCTTCAGGCTTTTGACTAAAACTGAAATAGTCTAGAAACTCAAAAGCAGTTTCTCGAAATAACCCCATACTGTAGATAATTTAGTTCCTATTATACTTTGTTCATAGACAAATTGCTGTGATTACTCATTTATCTCCAACAAACGATACTATATATAATTGTGGCCTCTTGAAAGAGTCTTGGAAAAAAAAAACAGCTCTTGCAATTGTCCAACCCGTTATTTAATTGATTGTGTTTTTAACATTATAAGATAATTGATTTCCTATTATTTTTGTTTATAGGACCAAATAACCAATTGCTAGTGATGTCGAACAATAATATGGAGGCTATGAAAGGTAGTAAATCACAGTCCATTTCTCATCTATTTTAGTTGTTCTTTGTTATACAGATGCCTTGGGAGCGATGCTTACTTCACATCTGGATAAGCCTCGTCTTTATATTGGGTGTATGAAATCAGGCGAAGTTTTCTCTGAGCCGTGAGTCTAATTAGAATGTTTTATTTCATTACTTATTTTTATAAGTTTGCCACCTTTTTTAGAATTTCATTTATCATCTGTTTATTGCTTGAATTATACAGGACTCAGAAATGGTATGAACCAGACTGGTGGAAATTCGGTGATGGAAAATCGTGAGTATTCCTTCCTTTTATTCACCTTGTGGCTATGTTTAAAGATAGATGATCATCTGATCTATTTTCTTATGAAGTCAGTGGCGTAGCTGTAGCCTACTGTAAGTTAGAAGACGTATCATTCTGCAATAGTGCTATGCCCATTTCTTTTTGCTTTCTGATTGGAAAATCTCCACAGTACCATTACCTGTTATGAAAATGAACTTAGGCCCTAGAAGTTCCATATTTAAGTTGTTAAAATAAGGGTAATGTCCAGCCATAACTTAGAATGACACTTGATTGACTGAAATCAGTCCAATATTCATCTAGTAATAAAAGTTGGGCTTGATATATGCCTTTAAATAAGATAGATGAAATAATGCTCGAACTAGGAGTATAATTAATTATAAATTTAGCTCTGCAAATGATGTCCTTGGAAATACAGTCCTGCTTCAGTGTGCGGTTTTAGGCAGCAAGCAAGATGTCCTTGGAAATGCAGTCCTGGTTTGCTTAACAAATGACTTTATTGAATAATGAGTTGACATGTTCTTTCTAGGATAAAAGATGTAGATTATTCAATGTTGGTTATAAATTGTAGAACTAGTGTAAACCAGCAAATTTTATGAATGAATGTTATGTGGTTAGTTAAGAAGTCATTATTTTATTCTTGATTCTATAAAACTGAAGAACTACAAACAAGATGCACTATGCTGCCTTGTTTGAGACAAAGTTGTGCCATGCACAAATAGACACTCTGGTTCTGACCAACATAAACCTTAACTCAAAATCATGAAATTGGAATCATTACAAATCATGAAATTGGAATCATTACACGCATAGGTGAATCCCATTCACAGAGACAGAAGAGATTGGGGTGTTAGGTGTTGCACCATTTCTTTCCTACTAGTTATGAGCTGCACATTATTCCATTGCTGGCGTAACAAGAGAAAAATTATAATAGATTCATAAATGACAACTGAAGCTGTGACTGTTGTAAAAACCCTAACATAGAATCACAATATTACACCTTAGATACGCGCCGCGGTGGGGTGGGGTGGGGGGTTGAAATTCAACTCAACAAGTTTAATCTTTGCTTTCCCCAGTCGAGTCTCTGTAAAGCCACTGTGTAAAAATCAAGCGCAATCTACACGTCCTTCCCCATGTTCTTTTGGCACTTTCAACTTGGATCACCCACTCCTTTATACCATTTTATTTTCTCATGTGGACTCTTTGTAAAGCCATCATGGGTTAAATCAAGGGTAATGGACTTGTGTCAACTTGATTACTCCTTTTTATTATTGTGCTGATCTGTGTAGCACATGGCTAAAACATCTCACATGATTTCCATGTAGTTCTTATGAAACAAAAAGAATCGCAAGAGGAAAAGGCATAATGATTATTGTCAGGTTATTACTTGGAGAATTATTTAGATGGAACTGCAGGAAGTGAAAGTTTGGCAGGCGACGTTTTCTCATGATGATCTTCTGAAATGAGGAACTTTTGACACATGGACTTTTTGAAATAGATGGAGGTAGTTTAGGTTAGACCTTTCAACGGATTGGATTTGGGCCGGATCACAGTCGATCCGATTTGAATCCGATAAGCACAATAGGCGATCCAATCCGATAATCCAATGGATTTTGAATTAATGAATCCTTATCCGAAACACACTTTATCGGATGTCCGATCCGATCCGTTAAAATTATAATTTTGCACAAATCAAGCAATTGATTACAATTATCTCCCTCCTCTTACTAATCAAACAAAGTAAAAACCAAATCTAAGCCTGGCATGGTTTAACAAACCAACACTAATATTTTTCAGTTATAAGGTACTACAAAGAGGATAACAATTTTTTGTACTGGTGAGATAAAATCACCATAAAGAGACGTGATAAAATCACCATAAAGAGCCAAAAAGGAAAATGAGAGAGATGAGGGGGAGGGGGAGGGGGAAGAAGAAGAAGATGATGGGAAAAATTTGAAATAATGTGAAAGAAAGAAAGAAATTTAGGGCAAATAAAATTAAGGCTTCTAATGGAGAAGAAGAACAAGGAAGAAGAGAAAGAAAAGGAGAGGGTATGCAAACAAAATACTCACACGCGTGGGTTCCAGCAAGATTTTCAGTGGCCAATCGACGAGCTCTGCACTCTCCTCCCCTTCGTCGTTTTTCCGGAGCCTTTCTGTAACTTTCACTTTGCTGTGTATTGATTTTTGAAGGTAAAGGGTAAACATTAAGAGAATTATAACTATGCAGGTGAGAACACCGTGATTCTATACCCATCAGTCTCTTTCATTGAGTGTTAACAAATCAAGTGGTTGATATTTGAAAAATATAAAAAAAAAAGAATTATAATATGTAATTAATTGGATCGGATTGACCCTAAACCAAATCTGATTTGTTAAGTTATTGGATTATCGGATTCGGATCCTTATTGGGTTTTCGAATTTGCTACTCCATCCATATCCGACTAAATGGATCGGATTCGGATCAGAATCCGATCCATTGACAGGGCTGGTTTAGGTGCCATATTACAATGTCAGAACAGTTGACATATAGGCATCTTGCTTTAATGATAATTAATTATAGATGGATTTAGAAATTATGAACACAATCCCTAACACAATTTTTACTTTTGATTCCCAATTTTAGAAATTGACAGCAGAAATCAGGAATCCATTGACAGGGCTGGTTTAGGTGCCATATTACAATGTCAGAACAGTTGACATATAGGCATCTTGCTTTAATGATAATTAATTATAGTTGGATTTAGAAATTATGAACACAATCCCTAAAGGATTCGTTTATTTTCATATTGTTCTTGGAACACAGTAACAATTTGAGTTCTAAAAATCATTTTGGAAATATACTTCTCCCCATAACAAAAATTATGAACACAATCCCTAAAAAATTTGTTTATTTTCATATTGTTCTTGGAACACAGTAACAATGTGAGTTCTAAAAATCATTTTGGAAATATACTTCTCCCCATAACAAACGTCATCGATAAGTGTTAGAGCAGCTTGTCATAAAGGTGCCATATTGCAATGTCCATCTTGCTCTAACGATATACAATTATTGATGGATTCAGAAATTATGAACACAATCCCTAAAGGATTTGTTTATTTTCATATCTGCTTGAAACACAGTAGAATAAAAGTTCTGGAAATCATTTTGGAGATGCACTTTTTCCCAAAAAAACGTGACAGTAAGTGTCCACTGTTCACTCTACAGAAGTCATAAATCAATCTGCATCGTCATATACAACTGCCTTCTTGCAGCTCCTTGTTCTCTAAATATAAGTTCTTATGCGTATCTTGCCACCGGTATACAAAAGTGACTTTTTCAATGCGCAGATACTTCCGACATGCTTCTGGTGAAATATATGCCATATCAAGAGCGCTAGCTCAATTTGTTTCAATGAACAGGTCACCTTTCTCTTTGTTTAATAATAATTTTCTTTTTGCTTTCAACATAAAATTACAGACATACAAAGCAGTTAATGGGTTGACTGTCTCTTCCATTTGCAGATTAATGCTTCGAACATATGCCCATGATGATGTCAGTGCTGGATCATGGTTTGTTGGGCTTGATGTGAAATATGTCAATGAAGGGAAATTTTGCTGCAATTCGTGGTCGCCAGGTCTCTCTCTCTCTCTCACACGCTGATTGATTTTCACTCTAAAAATAATAAAGAGCGGTCATAGGGCCTTTTTTATTTACAGCATGCTGTGTCTTCTGTTTAAGATGAGGTGAACATAAACGTGATTGCTAAAGTGGGGATGTGCAAGGGGTCCACATTTTACCCACCCACCTCAATCCCCCCACCACCACAAGTTTTTCTTGCCCAACTGATCTCCACCAGTCTCGTTTACTTAAATCCAATTTACAGGGATGTATAAGCAGTTCTGGGAAGAAGAAAAATGATATTATCACTCTCTTTTGTACTACTTTCTTCCACACTATTCCGGTGACACTTGTCAAATTTCTTTATGCCGACTTCTCAGTTTTTTAATGCCCATATGATTCCCTCAGTAAAAGCCATCCCACAGTAAAAATTTCACTTAATGTCATGGCACCTTTCGTCTCCTAGGGGGTCTACAGCAGTTGAGTGGCAGGGTCTGTATTAGAATGATTGAAGAAGCATCTCCTAGTTTGGTTTTAAGGTGGTGAACTAATTCATTCAATAAACATCAATGATAATCGTAAAAGACTAAACGTGGGGTATATGTGCCTGCACAAATACTATGTCCTTCCTCTATCTGCTAGAAATTAACACCATAATAATATTAATCTTCTAATTACGTCAACTGAATGCCCAACTCATGGCAGATTCCTTCTCAGAAATGGAAAACAAACCTCCTTTAAATTTTTCTTAGTGACTTCAGGTGAAGAGGGGAGAAACCAAGATTGATAATAATTGGGATTGCGAAGAAGTTCTGTTGTTCTATTGCCCATTTGGGTGACAGACTACTCATTTATACGTGAAAGTCTACTCATTCATACAATGACAGAAGTGCCTGTTCTTGCCCCTCCTCGGCATGATAATTTATTCTCGTGTACAAGGTCGGGTCAAACTGAATTTATTTTATTTTTTAAATTTCAGGGGCTATATGTGCAGCTGCATGATTTGGCTCATCTCAATAATAAATGTCAAGATAACAGGTATGTATATAGCTGTAGAAGCCATTCTTTACCTGCACCATCTGAGACGCTAGTTTGATGTAAACTCGGGAAGAGTTCAGCGGTGTTTCTTCTGAAAATTGATACTGGCTGCCTCAGAAAGTTTTGATGATTGAAGAGGTTTGTGCTGTAGATGCTTACAAACTAGTCAGAATTTAACCAAACGCTCTGGTTGCAGGCAACATTTTATAAGTCATTCACATAGATTTTGAAAGATCGCTTGGGGAGTTTCCCTCCATTTTATGATGTATTCTGATCAGCAATATAATCCATTTTCCCTTGTCATGCCATTGATATTTTTTCTTCTATTGTGAAATCAATGAATTGTGATTCTTTTGGTTCATGGAAATACAGAAGATCTGATTCAAGCTTGAAGGTTACTGTAGTTTCACATGGTTCCTTATTGTTCTGTGATGTTAGATACATGATCGTTTGAATTTTTATTTTATTTTTTATTTTCCCAGTCATATACAAACATGAAGACACCCACCTATACAAAGGGCATCTCAGTATTTTGTAACAAAGTAATGCTACAAAAATCGATCGGTTTTTTAGTTACTCCAGTAAATAGAGTCCAACACTATGACTCTTGTCGGCTTTTAAAACAACAAAATTTCATTTCTAGATACTTATCTCAATTGCTAACTGCCGCATCAAGACAGTGTAGTCGGTAAAATAAGGAGAATATTTAGCTGTTTGCCAGTGAGTAGCTTCAACCTACTCACCTCTAACGTGTTCTAATAACAATATAACACGTCATTTTTTATAACAAAATTAACAAAATAATAAACAAAGAAAAAGAAAGTCGGATCGACCCGTTTTAATTGGGTAACTCTTTTCTTTCTCCTCTTTCATCGATTCCCAACCCACGTCCACATCTCTCTCTAGGGCTCTTCGCAAATCCACACCCTCCTCTCTCTCCACTCTTCTTCTCACCTTCATGGAACATCATCAATCAATGAGCAAACATATCTAATTCGTGTTTGGATTATTTTTCTTTTTCCTCTCGTGCTCCACTGAACATCATCACTCAACACGCATTCAAGAATTGTGGGTTCAACTAGGTCTTGTAGTGGAGGTATGATTTAATTATTTGTTTTGCGCATTTATGGAGTTCAAGCATCTAATATTTTGACTCAAGTAAAACACTCTTACTAAATTACTAGTTTTTATTATAATTATTTAGAGTAAAAATACTAGCTGATGTTTTAATTAATGTATATAGGAATCTTCAATTTTTGGAGGCAGTTTACAACAACCAATCGAAATGGAGAAAGATTTTAGTACCTTGATACCAAATCATGTATAGAAAATCCTTAATGTTCCTTTTTATTTACTCAAAATGATTTTTCAGTGTTGAATTACCATCTTATTTACATTTAACAGTAAATCTATTTTGAGAAAGGAACTCAAGCTCGAATTTTAAATCCTGCGACGATGATCTCTATGCATGACAATTTGGGTGTGAAAACAAATTGGCAGAGCAATATGTATTTTACTCAACTACTTCAGGTAATCATGCATACAGTTTAACTTTTAGTTGTTTATTTGTGCCAAGTTTGTCATAACAATAGCTAAATATTTTGTAGGAGGCACATTCTACCCACCCCACACAAAGTGCAGAAGGCAAAAGGCGTCGAGATTAAGCATCCTTTTGATATGGTCGGAGATATTTTTAGGCCCTGGTAGTTGGATGAAAGTATAAAAGTTTGACTTGATTTTTTTTTTTTATTCTTTTTAATGGGTCGTTAGTATTTACTTTTGGTTATCACAAAACTGAATTATTTTTATTAAGATATGCTTTTGAGAGAATGGTGGTTTTTGCTCTATTTTTAATACTGTTTGGATTTTTGGGTGTAACTTGTGGTGGGTTTTGCTTATTTAGTGAAGTTGTGGTTTTGATGACTTGTATTTTTTTATGGGTATACTCCAAAAAGAATGAATCAGTCATTCTAAATTTTCTTGATCGACTCTCCCCGTCGATGTTCCTTTTGTTGTTATTAAGCAGTTTATTCACTCTGTAGCCACTCAGGCCGAATGAAAGTATGATAGGGGATTGAGAAACTTCAAGTGGCAGGTCTGGCCCATAAAGGGAGGCAGGCGCTCGAAATCTGTTGTTGGGAACATGCATTTCCTCTGTTGGTGGATTGGAAAAATCATAGAATGAATGAGCAATTATGTGAATCGGAGTCTAGAGGCAACTCCGCTTTGCTTTGGGCACCGCCCTCACCTTCGCTCTTGCTTGGACTTAAGTCCTTAGCCCTTCTTACATGGTATCGTTGCAGACTTGATTCCATTTGATATCACACCTAATCTTCCCTCTATTATAAAACTCAACCTGAGCCATCAAGAACAGAAATTAAAAACCAAAAATAATAATAATAATAATAAAGGAAAAAAGTGAAAATTTTGAGAATATTTATTGAATGATGATTGAAAGCCTCTTTCTAAATATTAAAATCCTAAATGCGCAAAGCAAAGAATTAAATCATACCTTCACTACAAGACCTAGTTGAACCCACAATTCTTGCTTACCTGTTGAGTGATGATGTTAAAATACAGGGAAAAAAAAACAAAAGTAGAAATTGATATGAACATTATAGTACAAAAAGCCACAAGGGCATGCCTTATAAAGCAAAATAGAATAGAGAAAATTCTTTTTCTTTTTTTTTCCTGAGGTAAAGTAGAACATTACAGTACAGAAAGGCACAAGGGTGTGCCTTATAAAACTCAACCTGGGCATTAAGACCAGAAATTAAAACCCCCCCCCCCCCCCCCCCCCAAAAAAAAAAAGAACAGAAATTAAAACCAAAAAAAAAAAAAAAAAAAAAAAAGTGAAAAATTTAGGAATATTTATTGAATGATGATTGAAAGCCCCTTTCTAAAAAATAAACCCTAGATGTGCAAAACAAAGAATTAAATCATACCTCCATTACAAGATCTAGTTGAACCCACAATTCTTACTTGCCTGTTGAGTGATAATGTTCAATGGAGCACGAGAGGAAAAAGAAAAATAACCCAAACACGAATCAGACATGTTTGCTCATTGATTGATGATATCCCATACAAGAGGAGAAGAAGAAGAAGAAGAAGAAGAGTGGCGAGAGAGGAGGGCGTGGGTTTTGGAAGGGATGAAAAAGAGAAATAAAAGAGAAAGGATGAAGAAGAAGAAGAATCGTGGAGAGAGAGAAGAGTATTTTTTTTTTTTTGAAGTTGAGAGAGAAAAGAGTTACCTAATCGATCAAAGAGTTACCTAATCGATCAAAGAGGAGAGAAAAGAGTTACCCAATTAAAACGGGTTGATCAAACTTTTTATTTATTTATTTATTATTTTGCTAATTTTGTTATTAAAGAGTACGTGTTATAATGTTATTGGATACATCAAAGGTGAGTCGGTTGAAGCTACTCACTAGTGAGTAGCTAAGTATTGTCAGTAAAATAATAGTCTATAATTATATTATTTTCCTTTGTAACACCACCACACTAGAATTACCACAAATACTCGCAATGCCTTCTTAGTTCTTAGTGGGATTCAAACTCTGAAGCTCTATCCGGATCGAAAAGATACTTATCATTTGGTAGGGTTGCAAGTTGGGCGGGCCCAACCCAGCCTAACCCTAACCCAACCTCAATTTGAATCGGGTTGGGTTAGGTCAACCCAAACTATACCCAACGTGGGTTGTGGTCATAACGCGGATCAAATATTTTCGGGTCGGTTGGGTCGGGTTGACGGGTTGAGTTTTTTTTTTTTAATATTAAATTTTTTTTTCAATAATTTATATATATTATATATATTTGATTATATTATTATTAAAAATATATATATTTTTAGGGCAAAACACTTCAGCCTCCCCAATGGCCTCCATCTCTATTCTCCTTCTCAACTTTGAAATTGCCCCGCCCCCCCCCCCCCCCCTCTCTCTCTCTGCCACTGCAAACTACAAAATCAACAAGAATCAGAACTTCAAAACCGATATATTTCAGTTTATCTTTCTGTCTGCAAGAATCAAAAGTTCAAAACCTATTACCTATATCAAAACCCATATCGGCATATCATTTCAGATTGTTTAAAAATTTAAAACCCATATCTTTCAGTTTCCATCGCTCTGTTCCAGTTCGGGTTCGTCGTTTGCAAGCTTCAGTTGCTATCTCTCAACTCTCAAGCTTGCCCCCCTCTCCCTCTCTGCAATTGCTAATTTGTATGTATGGGTTTTGTTTTAATTTTTTTTCTTTCTAAATCAACTAATCAAGGTCTGTAATTCTTGTTTTGCAAACTAAATCCTATTTGGTGAAATTTTTTATGATCTTTTTAAATATATATATATATATATATATATATATATATATATATATATATATTACAATATAAAGTAACAAAATTTGCATTGCATTTTGAGGTAATCACCGTAATCTACATTTTATTTCAACAAAACAAATATATTTTTTTATTTGTATAACTTCTATTTCTGTTTATTATTATTATTATTTTGTTGTTGTTGTCAATCATGATTACAAGAAAATGTGAATCTGGGCATGAAAAAAGAAAAACAAAGAATCTGAATTGGATTAGAAATCTGCAGAGATTGAATCTGAAACAATTTTTATCAACATGCCAAGCTTTTTGGAAGATGGAAATCTTTTCAGAACAAAAAAAAAAAAAAAAAAAAAAAAAAAAAAAAAAAAAAAAATCTCATAACAAGAACTTTGACAAGCAAAAGTACTTAATATAGAGTAAAGCTCTAAAGTTACTTCTTGAAAATTAAAATACTTACAAAAAACATGCTTTTGAGTGAATTCCATAGTGTTGGAAGGGGCTTGCCATGAACTACCTCACACTCTGCTTCCACTAGTAGATTCTCAAATAGGATTAGTAAATTGGTCAAAAGAAGAGGTAGGGTACTGAGTGGTGAATTGTTCAAAAATAAATTGCTAATTTTTTTTTTTTTATTAATTACCCAAATAGGATTTTCTATGCTTAATTAGTCAATTGTCTAAAGAAACATTGTTAGTTAACTAAAATTGAATTAAATAACAGTTGATTTTGGTTGATATATTTTGATTTAGCCCACAACATTGAGAAATCCTGGATGTTTTGTTTCACATGGATATATTCAATCTTTCTGCCATATTTTTATTTTCAACTTTTGGTTTTTGATTTTCTTTTGTTATTAGAATGCAGAATATCATGATATTGATTTGTTAATTTTGAAGATTATTCCTAAACTGATGCATTGTACTTTGTAATTGGATTAATTTAATATAAGAGCTGAGTATAATATGTGCTAATCACACCTATCCGTAATCACACCTCTTTTACAGATAGGCGTCTGGTGCGACCATGCGTGTGCACAAAATAATGCACAACACTTTAGGTTTAGAA